TTTTTCCTTTTTTTTTCCTTTTTTTTCCTTTTTTTTCCTTTTTTTTTTTCCCCTTATCACTCTATGGAGAACAAACTGAACACCTACTTCGAACTGTGCAGTAGACGGTGATAAAATGCAGACTGCAGGTCTAACAGTTAATCACTCATTTATTTTGATATACCAAGCAGTGTAAATGTTGGTTTGTCTGTATCATAACTGCGTGGAAAAGATATCTGAGATTTATTTCTTTTAAGAAAAAGAGCCCTTTTATTTTACTTGGTTCCAATCAATCAGATTTTTTGTTTGATTTTAGTTGCCTTTTTTGACAGATTTGGGTCATCACCGAGACCTCTCTAAACTGAAATGTAAAGATGGTAGTATACATTGGTTTACCATCTACTGAAAGAAGTAAATTATACAGTGAAAATGCAGCACTAAAAATGGTCCAGATAAATCCTTAAATAAGTTAGCAAGAACTTGTACACATCGCTGCAGTTTTCATTTGCCGGCTAAATAACAGGTAAAAGGATATGTGGAATTATGGAATGAAAGCAAGCATACAATGCTTAAAAGGCTGAAAAAGAGAAAAAAGAGATACAAGTGCCTAATTTTAGGATTTGTCGCTTTGCAACACAATGAGCAGAGCTGTAGAGGTTTAACATAAGAACAGTAATTAAACTTCTGTGCTTAAGTGAGACTTATGCCAAGGTAATTTTCAACAAATTGCGCATCATCAGAAGTACTGACACAGCATTTTCACACGTGCTACCTGCTGAGTGCCTTCTCCCTTCCAAATTAGTGAGACTCTAGATATTAACTGAATACTTTGACTATATATTTTGTGGGTTGAGGGGGGTTATTTCCTTCCCAGACACTGATTCCCTTGTCATCAACCCAGCAGGTATTATATAAAGCACAAAACTTTATTTTTGAGAAAGGGAAGAAAATGAGAAGAAATTTAGATTAAGGGGTATTTCCATCCCACAATTGCTAATACTTCCTGGCATTTTAGCACCCTACTTAAGATCTACAGAGACAATTCTGTATTTTTCCAGTAGATGTGTTTCCAGAACTTTGTTTAGATAATTGCTAACTGGTTCATTTGCACACCATCTACCTGATGAAACCATGTTACAGTTAAATTGCACCAGGGCTCAAGAAAAAAGTTTCTTGTGCCCTTGAAATTAGGCCACTGAATTCCAACCTGTCCTCCTTGGCATCTCAATCTTCAGCAACCTTTAGAGGCCCATGTTGTTGGCTCTCTGATAGTCGAGTTTAGCCAGAGGATGGCAAAGTTGCTTTTGAAATGCATTTTTTAATAATAGCATTATTTAAAAAAAGCCCTCCAACAAACATTCTTGCCTTTTTTTTTTGTTCTTTTAAAGTCAGTAGCAGATAATTCATAGCTTCCTCTTAACCTCAGAAAGTTCAGAGCAGATGGAAGAAAAGCCAAGCGGTGAGATGAGGAAGAGAGAAGAAGCAATAAAGGAAAGAGTGAGCTGGTGGGACAAGGCTATGGGCAAAGCCGCAGGTGTGGAAGGAAGGAGACAAAAGACAGGGAAATGGAATAGATGGGAAATAACTGGGGACAAAGAGCAAGTCTGATACTATTCACCAAATTTGACACTGCTAATGACTTAAATGCTCACCTGAAGCTCAGGATGGAATTTCTGCAGGTGAAGTGTTGGGTGTTGGTTATTCTCTGTATCCAGTTAATATACCATGTTCCCATAGCAAATACTTTCCATATTTACCTTCTAAAACCTGCCGTAGTGTAGTTGAAGTGTGTTGGAGAAAGGGTGTGTAAGCACCTTTTAATGTCTTTTCTTCTGTCTTGCTTAGAGCCTCTAGGCAGACATCAGTGTTTTTCAGTCATTGTTAGTGAAAAAAAGCTTTATTTAAATTTTTGTAATGTTCTGTATGCAATGTGCATTTGATCTCTGACTTCACATCTGTCTGTTAATATATTCCTCCAAAGTGGTACACACTTGTCCTGAGATATGTATTATTCATTTTACTTAGAATTAGAGAAATATAGCTATGTGTATATTTGTATGTGTATAAACAAACACATTTTGTTGGCACTGGCACATATAACAGTGCATAAACCAGACCTCTGCAGGTTTCAGATTACCATCTTTACTGAAACTTGAACATCAGAGAGAAAGTATCCCAAACTTGCTGGGATAATAAGGGAATAGCAGCTTACATCTATGAAAGAGCCCAATAAAAAGACTTGCAGTGGGCACTTGGAACCAGGCATCCCAGAGGGCTGTACCTGCACAAGTCCTAAATCCTGGCATGTAGGGCCTGGCACCCTTCCGTCTCTGGCATACATCATCTTCATGGGATGATTAGCTGATTGCTGGGTTACAGGAGGGGTAAATTCTGAATCCCCTGTTTTTTCCCTCATGTACAGGCAGCCTCTTCAACCACTGTAAAGCCCTGAGTAGCTGTTTCCTCTGTGCAGTGTGTTACAAGATGTTGGAGGGAGGGATCTGACTGGGAGGCACAGAAAGCCGAGCAGAGCAGCCCAGTGGGTTACTGGTGACCTTGAGCTTGCACATGCCTGTTAGCAGGGTGCAAACAAGCAGAAGAGGAAACTTCAATGTTCCCTTTTAAGGGAAAATGATGGTTTTGCCTCTGTGACGCCTCCCTTGTGGATGAGAGCTGGTGGTTCCTCACCTGCCTTCTGTCAGTCCGAAGTCATCAGCTGCCATCCAGATGCTGCCATGAGCAGAGGTGTGACATTCTCCTCAGCATTAGCCTATTGGGTACTGCTGGAGCTTCCAGCCCAAGCTCCCCCAGATATGTGCCAAGAAACTTTTGGCTTCTGAATCAGTGTTAGTATCTGTGGGCCCTGTGCCAGGGAAGCAAAGCAAAAGTTCCCCAGCCAAAAATGCACAAATTAAATTTTGCTCTGGATTTCATTGTGTTGAACTGTGGTGGATGTGAAGTCTGAACTGTAGAAGTTGGAGCTGAATGGATGGGGTGGGAGAGGAGCCTTTCAGGCTTGCCTGGGGTGATAGTTTTAAGTAGGTGATTCCTTCTTCCCTATTTTGCTGCCAGTTTTGTGGTTGTCATTTGTGTTGTGACTGTAACCGGCTGACTTGACTTGTGCCATGAAAGCATTTATAGCATTTAATGAAATAATCCTTTTATTCTCCAGAAGAATCATTGCACTTAGAAAATTTCAAATGCTCTATTCTCATTTTATACTGCTTGAATTTTACCAGGTTTCGGAAGGTCAAGAGATTTGTGTAATTGAAGCAATGAAAATGCAGAACAGTATGATTGCTGCTAAAACAGGCAAGGTAAGCTACCTTGGGTCACTTAAAACCATATGCAGCTTGTCAAACAGGATAGAATTTAAAAAGGAAAAAAAGAAGGTTCTGGTTGTTAAGGAATTAAGTCTGATTGTTGTAAGTCTTTCAAAGTGAGGTGTCTTTAATTTTGTAACATTTGCATCTGCTGTGAATGCTGTTGTAAGTAGTTCCGAGCCTTAGACAGCACAGCAGGAAATAGTTTTACTGGCCTCAGAAATTCATATAACTCTCTTTCTCCTAAATGATTTGTTTTCTCTGATGTTACAATGCCAAGTTGAATTGAAAGGTGTTGCAGACCATTTCTCCAAATTTCATCTTTCCAGAGAGCAACCGAAGAAGAGACATCTCTTTGCCAGTTAATTATTTAATGGCAAACAATTTGCCATTAAAAAACCCCACTCAGAACAAGGCATAGAAAGTGCTTTTGCAGGAGGAAGAGAGAAGCAATTTTTTAATTATTGTGACTGTTAAATATCAAGCCTAGATCTGCACATCTGTTAAGCTTTGCAAGGCTGTGCATTGTGATATCTTCTGAAGGATCAGCATTGTAGCCCTTGAGCTGGGACTCTCCTGCAGTGTAGGATGTGCCAAAGCGAGCGCTCAGGGCAGGAACTGGTTAAGCTTATATGATCAGGGCATGCCTTAAACCCCAGCTGGTGTGGGGACTGTCAGCCCCCCAGTTTGGGGCCTCAGAGCATCCCTGTGTCAGATTATAATTCACAGCCTGAAACCATCACCTAGACATGGGCCCCTGATACATCCTTTCCAGTGGCAGAGCATAGTCTGGATCTGGGTATATATTCGCTTCTGTTGCCTATTTCCTTACCTGCCCCAACCCACGTTTGCCTGGGGTCGAGCCGCTCTGCTCTCCCTGCTGTACAAACCCCAGTGCAAGGCCCCTCCTCCCAGAGGGAGGCAGCAGGGAGCCCGACTCTCCAGGCAGGGACGGGGTTAGCCACTGGCAAGGTTCGCCGAGATTTTAGGACAGGCCTCTATGCCAAGGACTGTTTGTGTGTTTACAAGAAAGGCTTATTTGGCACAGCTCTAAAATTGTTACTGAGGCTGGGTCCCAGGGCTTGCCTCTTCCAGTGTATCCAGTGCAAAATTGGGTCTCAAGAGAAAAAAAATAGTGAGAGAGGGAGTATGTTCCTTTTCCCGTTGCTCTGACATTGCTACTTTATAATTTAATTTCATGCATTGATTTCTATATAATTTATTCTCTCACTTGATTAATATTTCCAAGCATTTAGTTTTCCATCTTTGCTTCTTTTAACCCCTTATTGCTGCTTTTTGCATCCGCTGTTTTTAACTAATGAGTATTTGTAATTAAAATGCTATTCCCTCTCCCACTCCCCCATTTATTTTTCTTTAACCCTCCCTTTCCCACCAACGTGTTCTGCAATCCATGGGCTTATTCCTTAAAATCCTGCTTGTACTTCTCCCAATAAGAAATATTTCCACTCACTGTGTGCAGATGCCACGTAAAAGCTGTGTTTGGCTTATTAATCTTCCAAGGTGGGATGTGAATGGTGCACAGGCTATGCAGTGGGCCTGATGTGTACCTTGCAATGTCCCCTTGGTGCCCCAAATGTAATAATAATTAGGAAATTATTTGATTCTTTAGAATTTTAAGAATTTGAAAAAGACAAGTTTTGGGCTGTGTAGAAATAAAGCTGCTAAACAAAATTCATCCTTGCAGTGCAAAGTCATGGCTCTAAGTGCTAAAATAACTTGGCCCGTCCACAGGAATGGGATGTTTGGTACTGGCTCTTAGTCCATGTTTTGATGCTTTGAAACTGTGTTTTGAAACTCGGTTCGTTTGTCTTCAGCTGAAATATGTTCCCATTTTCATTCCTGACTGAATTCCTTTTCTGTATCAAACCCCATCTTCCTGTTTGTAATTGTGAGAAAAGTGGCTTGTTTTTGTCTACTTTGAGTTTACTCCAGCTGCAGGTGGTTTAAAAATGAGGGAAAGATGGAGAGGAACTGGCATGCCTCCTGTCTTCTATGGGACAGCTGTGCCTGGGTCAGAACAAGGAGCTGGCCCCACTGCATTTCAGAAATCACTGGGGAGTTTGAAACACTAGTTAACTCCAATGTTTGCTGAACCTTGGCTTTGTAGAAAAAGAAAAGCAAGAGGTAGGATGTTTTTCACACTGTTTTCATCTCTTAAAAGATTGAGGCTTAGGAATCAGGTAGGCTGCCTAGCTACTGATTTTGGAAATAAAGCCCTTGTTTGTACATATCACGCTGTTTTTCCCCGTGTAGTGTTCAGCATAATTTCTTGTGCAGTGCTGTGAATGTGCCTGTGCTACAGAGTCAGAGATCTGCTTACAGCTCACAGGGCTTTAGACTGTCAAACATGGGTGTGGGCAATAGTGTGGCCATCATAGCCTGGTACTTTGGGTATGCTGTGGATTTCCTTTAGGAGCCCAAGGTAGCATTTGGATTATTAAAACGAACCAACTGCTGAACAAGGATTTGGGCATGTCAGTGTGAGCTCTGAATTAATATTGCAAGCAAACTGTAATATAAAGCTTCAAATATTTTCCGGAGCTCCATGTGCTGAAAGGGTATTCAAATATGTTGCAGCCTTTTATAAAGGAAATAAGGGACTAGTATAAAATTTTGTGGTTTAAAATTCAGGAATCTGCACATGAGTATACAATTGATCTACAGATGTAGCTGCATTTATTTGACAGTGGTTGCCCTTTGCCAAGTTCAGTTATGTTAAAGGATCACAATTCAGATTTGAATCATCTATCCCAGCTTTCTGGGAATTGAGAGAAACCCATTTAATGGCTGCAGTCCCAAAATTCAGCTATACTTAAAAACTGTAATGCAAGAAATAGTGGAATATTTCATTGAAACATCCCAGCGTAAGTGTTGGAGTATCAGCCTGTCCTCTGAAAGATATAAAACTTTAGTAGTAAATGAACAGCAGTGCAACCAGGTGGAAGAAAGGTGCTTTTGAATTTTTAAAGCACTATCTCCATCTGATGTTTAGGTCTTCAAGCACCTCTGTCTTAAGAAAACCAACTAGTGGTAGTTGCCTGAGGGGGTTGGACATGATTTGGTCAAGAACTGGAGAGGTGCTGGAGTCTCCATTCTCACAGGTACTCAAAACTCAGCTGGACTCTGAACACTGGAGGTTGAGCAGTCACACTCTTAAGGCCCTTCCAGCAGATGTGCATCTGTGATCCCTGGGGTGGTCATCATGCTGCACAGTGGCCATTTACCCCATGCATGCAGATGTGATACTCTATATTAAGCCATGTCAACCAAAACATTCCTTTCACCGTGTTATTGAGCAAGGTTTTAAATTACTGCTGTTTCTGTACCCTAGGTGAAAACTGTGCACTGCAAAGCTGGTGATACTGTTGGAGAAGGAGATCTGCTGGTGGAACTGGAATGAAAGGTTGCCTCCATGCTGTTGAATTAACTAAGCCTTTATTATTTTCATCCATAAAGTAACATTAAGGCAGTTCAACACAGAAAATGGACAGTACTACGTGCAAGATTTTATGCAGGCATATTTACTGTATCAGTGGTTAAGACAGCAAACACAGATGTTAAATCTTGGCAATGGATCCCAGATTTTTACTTTCAGAAATACTTGTACATAACCTTTGTAATGCTTTGATTTTTCAGGATCAAATAAAATCAATAAAATACCATTTCTGCTTTAAAACAGGAAAAGCCTCTTTAAAAAAAAAAAAAAAGAAAACACAACAAAAGCTCAAATCTGATTTGTCTTCTCCACAGTAATGTCCCTGGTTTGAGGCCCCAGCCAGGCTGCACAGAATTATTGGCAAGAATGAAAAATTAACCACTGAGTAAACTGAGCAGTTCTCCTACACTCTGTTTAAGTGCTGCACAAGTATCACCAATGGCTTAAATTCTGATCAGCTTTATTGTAATATTTTGAATGCTTTGTATAGACTAGATTTAAATTACAGGTTAGAGGCTTTATTTTGCTAGTGCAGACTTTTGCTGTGTGTTTTCATTTAAAGTTTAAGGGATTTGTCTTTTATTCAAACTCCATACTCAATTTTGCCACTCCCTTTAATCTTCTTTATACTGATTACTGCATGCAAGTCTTAAAAGAACGAGGTGGCACTGTCCTCAGATCCCTTCAGCCACCCCAAGGTATTGCTAGAGGCATGTACTGTCCCTCAGACCAGGCCTCCTCCTGAATTCTTACAGGAAAGGGAGACCAACTCCCCGATCTTTTGTTGTGCAGAGGCTTTTACTAAAGGCTGTGTGAAAAACGAGGACTGTTCATAACACAAGACTGTATCATGCTGGAAAAGCTGTGTATCCAGTATGGGAAACCAGAGAGGGCCTGGAGAGGAGGAATATTTAAGAGCCTTGAACAGAAGTAAAAGGGCTGGTGACTTGGGCAAGGAGTATTTTCTCCTCCTCACTCAGGAATTCCATGCCCCACAGGATGATGTAGATACCGGAACTGCACTGGGTCCAAAATGTTAGTTTGTGATTAACAGAGGCTCCTTCTTCCATCCTGTGCCCTAGCTTGGTAAGTCAGCAGCCGCAGCCCACTGGATGCAGATGTACCTCCGCAGTCCCTGTGTTCTGCAGCATCATCCGGTCCCTGTGGTCCTGCCTAGGATTCTGCTACTGCCCGCTGCTGGGCCAGGACACTGGCTACTCCTGCCTTTGGGCTCACCTCCCACAGCTGTTCTTTCTACATACCTCTAAGTCACCCTTCCTGCTGTGCCTTGACCACTGCCACAAAGAGGACCTGCCCTGCTCTCATTTTCTTGCCTAAGAAGTATAGAGTAATGCCACTTCCTAGAAAGCAGCCCACTGGCCAGAGACACCTGGGCCCTTTACCAAAAGGTGAAGGATGAAAACAGTCTGTGGCAGGGCTGGTGACTCATGTTCAACCAGAAAAGTTCATGATTCTGCTTGAAACTTCTGACTGAAGAGGAATTTTTCATGTTACTGAGATGCTGCTAACTACATCATGCAGCCAAGGGACAGGGATCTGCTTAGTGAATTAGTTTACAAAATACATCAGTATGAGGAAGGAGAGTGTTTGGGTAATACCTGTCTTCCAGGAAAATTAATGCTGTTAAAGTTGGAGAAACTGAGGCAGACAGTTTGCAGATCTCCCTAGAAATCTCCTTACTGCCATCCTGGCCCTCCCTAAAGGAGCACAGTTCAGCTTCTGCAGGTTGCCCTAAACAAAAAAGTAGTGTAAAGAGATACAAGTATTCTACTTTTGAATTACTTAATTTGCTTACTCCAGCAACATAAAAGCTTTCTGTCTGTTTTTCTAGATGAGATGCAGCAGTGCCTACTACTGCTGAAGTTTAGGCTGATTCCTTACCCTGGATCCCTGGTCTGATTCTCTACTGTGGATCTCCTCCGGCCATGACAGGACTACTGGCAGTGAAGCAAAAGTACAATGTTGTTCCTAATGGTGTCATAAGTGCAGTTAATTGTACTTTGGCTCACTGCATGGCATACATTCCCTGCTCCCATCCCTTTGGCAGCTTTGTATACTGTACAATCTATTTGTACCAAACCGTGCAGTTGAAGGAAAATATAAGGCACAGGAGTGTAACAACAGAAAGCCACAATTTTCCCAGATTGTACAGAAACCAGCACAGTTGGTTGGGTCAGGGGGGCAACAGTCTTCTTTACATATTTTTTTCCCCAATTTAAATGTTGCAATAATCACAATACAGGTAGTTTGGACATTTTTATATTGTATATAAAAATCTTTCCCCCAATAGAAAGCTCAGTTTGCATATGGTTGCAAATTCTGCATTAAAGTGCTTGGCAAAAAGTCACCTTGACAGTAAGTGCTCACAACAGCTTCAGTGTAAGTTTGCTTTTCCTGGTCCCCAACTTCACTCACCCCTCCTAAGCCCCCCCAAATCCTACAGTCACTCATTGAACTGAAGTGGAACCTAAAGTGCTTAGAATGTTAAATTAAAAATACAATTTAAAATATAATTTTCTTATAATATCTTAGTATTTTTTTCACAGTACCTTGTGAAACTAAACATTATTTAAAAATATACCTTTCCAGTTCAAAAAAACCACACTGCAATGCAGAGTAAGAATAATCTTTAAATTTTCTCTATTTCTTCAGCAAGTTCCTATTTGTCTAGAAGCACAGAGTATCTTCAGTAACCTACTAAATACCATTACAAGTCAACATTCAGCGCGAGTTGTGCTTTACTTTGCAGACATGACTTTTAAATCAGTTTCAGCTATTAGTGCAACAGTATCATCATTATTCCATCCACCTTGGAGAACTACACATGAAATTTTGTCAATTCAGGTAAAAACCCCATAAAATTAGTCTGTTCCTCTGCCTTTCACTGACCTCCATTATGCACCAAGGCAAAGGGGGAAATTGAGGAAATAATTAGACCCCAGACCGGGTATGCATATACACAATTTTTACCCCTCATGAAAACCCAGTTCTTTGCAGCAGGTTAGTGGGGGTGAGGAGGACACTTGACTACCTGGGGAGGGAGTCTCCAACTCTGGGCTTACAGGACTTCAACTCTAGCACCAAGGGTCCTGGGTTGGGAAGGTTACAAGAGATTCTGCATTTTAATAAAAAGGTATTACAGCTTTCCTGGAAAGGTTACTGATCAACACGTGCTTAGTACTATGTCTTCGGCCAGGCTGCGTTACCTCCCATTTCTATTCTCGGCTTTCGCGTAGGACGTAGGAGAGGCCGTGTTTCCCTGTGGAGTCGTAACTGTCATAGTAGGGAAGCCCCACCCACTCGGGTGGGTATGTGGCTGTGCTGTACACGAAGCACTCCAGGATGCCCTCGGCACCGCCCTTCCCTTCCCACTCCACCACCTCGATTCTCATCAGGGTACGCTGGTACATGTCTGGGCAGCCTTCAAACTCATCCAGGAACTGCAGCATCTGGTCATCAACTGAGTAGATCTCCCCAGCAACATGGTGGCCCGTCCCTGGGATGTTCAGCATGTAAGGAATGTTGTATTTTCCTGCAATCACCAGCGGGTACTTCTCCACCGTGCGGCCCCTTCCTTGGAATTTTGCTAGCCCCTTGGCTGTGTTGATCATGTGCTTGTAGTTGGGCTGGCCCTTCTTAAGTGTGCCGTAGACAAAGACACGAGCCATCGTACCTGCAAAAGCAGCTGAAAGACAAAGGCATCTGTTACCATGTGGCTGCCCTAGAGAACCACACCCACACCACAGCACCTTGGACATGCAAGGCTGTTTGGACATGTGCAAAAGCCTAGGTCTTTGTAGTCCTACATCACATTTAAGTATCATACTAAATTCAAGTATCTTGAAAATTTTCAGATAGAAAATGCATCAGTGCAAAACACACCAGGACAAAGTCAACCTTTTGTAGTTCTTTGCCATAACCAAATTACATCCCATGGTTTCTCTAAGGAATCCCCAACGTCAGCCAACGCATTCCTGTGCCTCAGGAAAACCTCTCAACCCTTTTTAATTTTTCTCTTTCCCACCACTTTGTGAGCTGTGCTGCAGCAAGTGTGTGGTGCCGTGCTCAGTGACACCCCAAAAGCAAATGTAACCTGGTGTTGAGTTATCTCATGGACATGCTGATGGATTTGCAATAACCCCAGCTCCAAGGTCTCACATGCTGACTGACCAACCAATGCAGAACAGCAAGCTGTGAGTGCCAGGGAGGGAAGTGGGGTGGCCTGTGACAACTACATCCTGAGCAAGCAGGGGCTGTCTGAAAGGTGCCATTGAAGTTTGTCCTGCTCCTTCAGGGGAGGGGAATGCTGATGGCTGTAAATATGAGGTGATTTGCAGAACTGGTCATGTGGTATTTTAGCCCTAATGAAACGGGAAGCTATGGCTGCTGGCACGAAGACCAGGTAAGGCCGTGCTCCTCTTGTCCCCAGACAGACACTTGAAAGTGCTAAAGCACCTCAGGTCTGCACACATGCTAAACCTTTCTTGGAAACAGACCCTGCATGACCATTTGTTTTATTTGTGAGCATGAAACACTCAAAATTGGTTTAAATGGGATAAAAGACTGACTTTGGGGGGGGAAGGTACCTCCATCATTCCTGTGTTACTGTTCACACTGTTTATCTCCTATTGTTTCTGTAAGGCAGAAGCAGTTCTTGCACTGTGATGTTTTTCCACATTTTACCCTTGGTCGCTGACTGGGGAGTGCCTGCCTCATCCACAGTTGTCTAGTTGGGCCAGACATCCAACACCCAAGGAGCATGTGCAGCTCCTCTTGGGAAGAGGGCATTAAACAGTGTATTTCAAGTTTGAAAAATCTTTAAAAACAGACTGGAAGTAGAAATGCAATCTGTTCTCTGCTATTTATTCTTATTTTAGTAAACTGTTAGGTCAGTTATCCAAAAGGGTGCATTGCTGACCAAGAGCAGTGTCATTTAAAATCCTAAGTAGCAAAGCAATTTCCCCCTTGGTGAAGTAAACAGTTTTTCTCTCTATCAAAGTACAGTTTTCCAAGCAAAAACTGTGCCTTTATTTACTGACAAACTGCTTCCACATGGGAAAAAGAACATACTGATTTTTCCCCCCCTGTATTTTATCAGATATAATTCAGAGTAATTTATCCTTCATGACATAAATGAGTTTTTTTTGGATGCAGCTCATTCCCTCACAATAAGAAGAGCATTAATATTCAGTCAGCCCAAGTCTCTTTTATAAGAAAAA